ACACACACACACACACACACACACACACACACACACACACACACCAGCAGACATGAGAGAAGTTCTTCCTGCAGATTATGACGCTTTGTTTTAACTTCATTGTTGAAGAAGCGATGCCTCGATTATCCATGAATGCATAAATATGAGATCAGCAGGGTTTTATAAAGATAAGATCTACGTGTACTACAGCAGAGTCGCTTGTTGACCAGCGCTGAGTAATGCGCCTTATGTGCGGGGGTTTGCGGTGTCAGATTACAAAGGGCATAAAAATAATCGTTGATTAATCGTAATTGAGATAAAAGTTTGAAGTAATCGTGATATTGATTTTAAGTTTTATCTGCCAGCACTACTCTGCAGCCATAAACTTTGATTCTGTGTCAATTCCTACTTATACTATCTCAAAGGACTGTTCCCTTTCCACCTGGGTTTTGTTCAGGATTGAATCAATGTAGTAATAAATAGTCCATCCATAAGTCCTGTGTGCCATAGTTCAAATGAGCTCATTCATGGCCTTGTCACAGAAGTTCTAAAACCACTTTATGTTAGAAGTTGCACTGAGACACTTGATTCAGTTGTTATGGTTTTAAAGAGAATGTCAATTAACCCTGAAGCTTTAAAAGACAATTGTTATTTTTTTTGATGGAAAAAACAAATACATGTTCAAAGATCCCGTCTGATTCCAAAGGGTTCACTGATGTCGTTATGTGATACTGTCACAAGTGCAGCCATAAATTCATTCATGCACTGAGGATTCCAACAGCAGAAAACATCCTGCACTAAAAAGCATCTCGACCCCATTGTTGTCCCGGAGATAAAGATGATCTCCCTGCCAAGATGATCTTACTGGCGAGACAGTTTGGGAGAGGAAACGCAGATGAGAACTGGAACTTCTCCGCTGAGGATATGTCTTGTGACAGCTCGTCTGAATGTTCCAACAGGCTCCTGTGCTTGAGCAACTTAAGGGGGAATAAAACATTGAACATCTGAGGGTTGAACACCATTGAGCATCTGTGATCCACTTAAATCCATTCAAAGTTGGGTGGCTTTTACTGTGTTGCTTCAGAGGAGTCAAATGGCATATGTCATCGCTTTTTTTCCACGCTCTGCAAAAGAGCAGGCGGTGCGCTCGGATGTGATTACAAAGCTCAGAGGAGAGGAGGCAAAAAAAAAAAAGGCCAAAGTCAAGAGAATGTGAGAGCTCATCTTCATACTCATCTGTGCCCACCGCAGAGTGACGGGTCTGATCTCCTCCACCACCCTTCCGTGAACCGACTCAAAAACATCACCAGTTAGATTTCAGTTGCTCTCACTGACAGTGGGTCAATTTCACCACTGGAAGATGATCAAAGTTAGATGGATAGGTCTGAAATTATGGCGCGAGGGGAAAAAAAGACGGATGAAGCCTTATTACCTCTCAAGTTGAAAGATTTAATGTCAAACTCAACATTTCCATCCAGCCAGGGTAGGGTGGGGGGCGGGTGGCGCCTCTTATCCTTCATTCCCTGTCTGAAGGGAGCCGATGATCACCCAGGGGTCCGCAGCTCTCCGATTGGTCGACTTTATGACTGAAAATGTCTCCTCACTTCCGCTTAATAAAATCCCTCAACTGAATTTTTCTCACTTGGCAGCAGATGTGCTGTAACTCACCAAGGATGACTGACTTCTTTTAAGGATGTGCTTATGATAAGAATTTCAAGTCCACTAATAAAAACCAGAACTCATTTTTAGATTTGCAGAATGAGTCATGTCTCTGATTCACTTCCCTTCTGCAGCACAGATGGAAGAGACAAGTTGAAAAGCATGAATGACAGTTGAACCATCCTTGCAACTATGCTGGGATGGATCGACCAGCCAAACCAGACATGACATAGTCGAATGATCCATTAATTTCAAGAGCATTAATGAAGGTGAGATGGATGGTTGCAGATAAGATGAGGAAATTCAAAATTGACACAGCAGCAGGGCAAAATGTAGTGAGAAATAAAAACATAAAAAAAAAAGAGGAGAAAAAAAAAAGCCAACAATTAAGCATAATTGTGATGTCATGTGATGTCAGCAGAGTGAGCCAGCTGGCCAATCGGGGTAAAGGGCTCAAAGAGACAGGTGTTTAAAAAGTGTTTCTTGAATAAAACACTGGCTAACCATCGACCTGTGTGCCTCTCATCCACCAGGGTCCACTGACTGTATCTGCTTTGCCACAGTGGGAACCAGCGATCCAGTTACTTCTGCTCTACACATCATTGTGGGTCAGTAGAAATGCTTGCAGCACACGTGTTGTGTATCTCAGTGTGTTCAGGGCTGCATCCTGTTTCCCTCTCATCATAGGGTTTGTGTAAGAAGTCACAAACAACCTGTGGATGATAATCACAGCAGCTCTCTGTGTTGTAACAACCACAAAGCGAGGTGCCACCTCACAGCTTCCACTGGGCGTGTCTCAACAGGTGATTCCCAGCCGATGGACGTGTGCTCGGCTCACCACGGTGACGTCTTCCTCAGATACTCGGTCTCGTTGCTCGGCTACGGTTTCTACGGAGATCTGCTGACATACAGCGAGAGGAAGAGGTGGCTGGGTCCTGCCAGATACGACCTGTCAGGTACGAGGGCCACAGTCTATACTTGAGTGACTGTCCAGGCTAATCCTGCTGTGGCTCACCGGTCTCAGAGCGTTAATGACCACACGCCTGCTTATATTAAAGTCGGGTAAAACAACTGGAGTTGATCCCAGAGCTTCCTGGTCTCGCTCCAGGTCCAGGATTCGGAGGATTAAAGATATAAATAATACACACAGCCTCAGGCTCGCTCTCCTGTGTAGTTCTGCAGTGAGACTCACTTACACCACCTGACTCACTAACACCACCAAGATTTCTCTTCCCACTGGGGCCACACATAAATACTCACACTCGTTGTAGTGTATAGGCATCCACCCTGTGATGCCAGTTATGGAACCAGGCTAAATTAAAGTGGGGCCGACTGTACAGAGGAGGAAAACAATCTTGAAATGGAGACCTGGGGCCTTATTTATCAACGCATGCATAAAACAAGTCCTAAGTGTGTCTGAGCATGAACAGAAAATTTTGCATTTAACTCTGACATCTTTACACTATGATGCACTGTGCGGTAAAGCAGCAAGCACACAGGCAACAGGAAAGAAAATCATTAAGTTTTATTTTATGACTTTTCCCATAAGGATGCCATTGTTAAAACGTAAGATTTCACTGTGTCTTTTTTTATTTCTTCCTACACAACTTATTCAACAACAACCTAATATAAGCAGGGGTGTTGCCCTGGAGCTGAGAGGGGGCTACTTGAATTCTATGACTTTTTTAAATAAATGTTGAAGATAATATGATTACATTCATTTATTTGTCAATATTAAGAGATTCATCAGTAGTAACGTATTGAAATATTGTTCCGGTTTTCCATTGGTTCCAAATTTTGCAAAACAAAATTTGCCTTTCCTCTCCATCTGTAAAATATGTGCATTCCATGAATTGAACACCAGTTTATATATTCGTACATGAAACGGAATTACAGACACAAAACAAAACATTTGGAAACGAGTGCATCAAGTGCAAAACTTCCACAATACACACTGAATTTCTGAAGGAGGCCACTGGACTGCATTAAGCATAACTAGACATGACACATGTTAACTTACAGCAGCCTCTATAGAGAAAAAGATGAGCAGTGCAGTTGGTTATGCAGATGCCACTGTAACATTTCTCCTCTCATTTGTCTTGACATGCATTCTGTGGCCCACACTGTGTTTTTTTTCTTCCAGGGGTGAAAACTTTCCTGAGCCACAAGTGCTACGAAGGCACCGTCTCGTTCCTCCCCGCCGAGGACGACGTGGGGAACCCGAGGGACAAGCTGCTGTGTCGATCCGGGTAAATAAACCATCGCACATATCTATTTTCCTGCAGCCTCCCGGCACTATTTCAAAAGGTGCTAACTTATCTGATGTGCTGTAGTTCAATAGCGGCGCTGCACCTGCCAGAGCTTAAATGGGCCAGTTTTACGTTGTCAGGAAGCCTATCTGATTTATGGCGGACCAAAACACGTTCAGTCTTCTCTGAAAAGTGCTTGACTAAGTGCTTTGTTGTTTTTTTCTGTTTGAATTCAGACATTGTTTGCATTTGTTACGGGGACTGAAAAGCGGGCTGAGAGCCATTAATCTGTAAAAGAACGCCATGTTCCCTGACAGCTCACTTCAACATAAAATAGTGGTTTGACTGTGCTGCAAAAAGGCCGCTCTCGACTTCTGTGAGCAGCTCTCTCTAATAACAACTCTAATATTTACAGTGCACCTCAGTTAAAGATGGACTTAATTCATTCCCACTTAATGAATCATTAAGGCTTGTTAGAGCGTTGTGTGTCACTGCGGGCGCTGATGGTTTGATGACTGTGAAAACAAGGTTACGTTGATGTTTCAGGTGCCAAGTGTGTCAGCGCAAGACCTCATCAAACGACAAGCGGCGGGAGATGTCGGCGGAGAAGGAAAAGTCTGCTAAAGGTACGAGTTTGGGGGATGTTACTGGGAATATGTCAAATAAATCATTTCTGCCTCGTTATAGGCTTGTTTGTCTATTTTGAAACCGCTTGTGAAAGTGAGAATCTTTAAACCTGTAGTAGGAGAGGAGACAAAACCAAAGCGGAGACGAGACAATCGCACAAAGGCTTTCTTTTCTCTTGAAGTCACACAGACACACACACTAAACCAAATTAGGGGAGATTTGCATTTTTCTCTCTTTTACGGCATAAAAAGAGTGTAAATAACATCATCTTCTGCTTCTCAAATATTGCTTTATCTTCATTTTCTTCCGGGGTTATTTTTTCCCTCCCACGGCAGCATGCTGAAACTCTTGATGAGATTCTTGATGAGTTATTGACGAGAAAATATAAAACCATTTTAGTGACAGTGCAAGACTCCCCCCGTCGGAGGCTTTTTTGTGCGACTATTGATTTCCACATTTCCATAATCCACCCCCTTGTTCCTCGATGAGGCTGGTGTGTGTGTGTGTGTGCACTCAGCTTTGAGTATGACAACATCACCTCACCCCTCTCCTGTCCCCCCCTGACCTGACACACACACACACACACCATTATCTACAATCCTCTCAACCCATCAACACAAGCCTCTGGAGGTAGAGGAAATACTGACTCCTGTGTGGGTGCACCGGTACATGTCTGTGTGTACTTTGAGCTGCAGGATGAGGTGTGTGTGTGTGTGTGTGTGTGTGTGTGTGTCTGTGTGTCTGTGTGTTCATTTCCCTCACTAATTAGTGTCCTGATGTTTAACTCCAGATTTTTCTATCTTGGCCTGGCTATCTGGGACCGAGGCTTCCTATGGCATGTGTGTGTGTGTGTTTCCTTGTTTAAATATTCAAGCGAGCGCAACCTGTTTGTGTGTGATGTGTGACAGACTCCCACTAATCAGGATGAAATTTGGCTCTGCCGGCTCTGACAGAGGGGTTTGCCTCACGCCACCGCTGCTGTTTGTTTTGCGATCCTCTCTTTCTCCTTCCTGGCGTGGGAAATCTCCGACAACTGCTAAATCAATGAGGCACGACACACTCACTCTCTCCGCAAATGAGCCCCAGCCTCTCCTCCGAAAGCAAATACTCATTTGGAAACATTTCAGCTAATGAAGAGCCTGCAGGCCACAGTTGGATCTGTTGTTTTGTTTTTTTTGTTGCTTTTTTTAAATTTCCCTTTAATCACTTCTTCCCAATTAGAATATTGTTGTTTTTATGTAGCCTCAGCGGGCTTGTTATCATCGGTTCACGTTATCACCTCCGTCGGTTTGTTTTGCGAAATGAGGGGGAAAGGTAATGAATCGTTTTGCTTTGCGAGATCATATAATTTTCCCTCTGAGATGCTCGTAAAAACAGTCAGATGCTAATTTGGACGTCTGTGATCACTTTTTTGCAGCTCACTCCGCTGACTATCACGCCGGTGACAGGCGCCGCAGCTCCCGTGGGCGACGCCACTGTGTCTTTTGATACGGCATCACTTGTAAACAGTCGCTTAATCTCCGAGGAGCAGGGTGGCGATTTGTGAAGTGCAGCCATCGCGTCTGTCATTCGAGACTCGGAGGCCACATGTGCATCTAATCACAACAAAACAACTTTAAGTGAACGCAGTCCGTCTTCTATCTGTACAACTTATCTCCAAATAAGGGCGAGCCCCTTCCTCAGTCAAACTTAATTGCGTTTTGTCACAGAAGACATTTCGGCTTCAGTACAGTACGCTCAGCATCGAAGTTTCTATCTGGGCTCAGTCGCCAGGGTAACGCCGCTCCGAGGCTTCCTGCCAAGACATCTGGATCTTAATGGACCCTCATCAGCATCAGTGCCGTACTGTGACAAGCTTGGAACTTAACCTCAGGACTCATAAAGCACTTACACAGTGTGATTTCAAAACCAAATACCTGCTGGAACACAGAGGATTTGTTTCACAAACTGGAGGCTGAAAGGAATTTTGTAGCTTATATTTATCTCTTATCTTACTGGTTCAGGTTTCTACTGTAGCTCAAGGCTGGTGGAATACACACAAACCCAAAAGCCGTGCTGTAAAGTAATAATCGCAGTGCAGCGTATTCACTGCGGCGCTCTTCATTTTACATCGTCAGTGTCAGAGGAGCTTTAATGCTGCAGGAAAAGAGAGCAGCTTAGTAAATGGTTAGTGGACGAAGTCTGACGTGTTCAGCGGCGCTTTCGTTTTTTTCAATGTATTTATTTTGCTGCAAACCCATCGGTATCCCTGCATGAATGTGCAAGATTTCATTTGATTTCAAGCGAAGGGAGTTCACTTATTTGGTCTTGAGGTATTTAGAGTTTGCTACCTGCTGAGAAACTTCACAGGCAACTTTTTAAATATTTAAACTTGAGTACTGCAGTTTTGAGTAGTTTCTCAATAACAAATATATGGAAAAATGGTGTAAATTAATACATTTTTTTATTATTTTGTTTGTTTTAGCTTTTCCTCATCAGAAAATAAAGCATGGTAATAAAACCCTTTTCGTTGACAATACCATTGGCTCCCATCATTTGTAATCCTTGCTCTCTGATTGGCTGAATCAATAAGATTTTTTAAATTCTAAACCCTGGATATCTTTTCTGTACAGTGCAAGAAATACATCTTTGATTCCTCCTTTTTACCCAAAAGGTTAAACTCATGTAATGTGAGTAATGTACTTGATTTGCCTGAAAGACGTACCAAACAACGTTCACTTGAGTGAACTGGATTAAAATAAAAAGTAATCCTGTGAACTCATCATTCCTCGTTGTGTTTACCTCATCATTTGAAACTATAATGGCGGTCAGTAGGCCGCATACCTACAAGAAGGCCCAATAATGCTCCTTATGAATCCACATTTAAATTCACGAGATCCAGATTTTTTAGGGGATATGAACCAAATTGCACAAATGCTTAAATATTAGTCCAAGAAGTAATTTAACACAAAACTAGTAAACATGGTCATACTTATAATAACCCTTGACCAGTTTCAGATGACGACAGTGGTTGGGGTGTGATCCGAGGAAAGTTCATCACCATTAACGCCGCCAGTATGAGCTGCGCGTGTCCCCGCAGCCCAAAGGGCCTGTCTCCGTCGGCCCACCTCGCCGACGGCACCACCGACCTCATCCTCGTCAGGAAGTGTTCCCGTTTGGACTTCTTCAGACACCTTGTTCGACACACCAACAAAGACGACCAGGTAGGAAGGAAGCCGCTGGTGTTAACATATGCAACCTTTAGTCGCTCTGTATATTTTCTATCTGCTGCGTGTTTCCCCCCCCTCACACTCATCTCTATGGCGATTTAGAACACATGAACATCATGCATGTGTGCAACATATTTCAGAACTGAAATAAGCCAGTCAATTAGATATGAGTTGGATCCAGCAGGGATAAAAGAAGTCTCGTCTTCAAAGAGCGAAGAAATCTCTCCAAACACCACAAAACTTTTTGGACGATTTCCTCTCAAAACGCCCCACCCCCCCCACCAATCGCTCCCTCTGCTGCAGAGTTCAGTGCTCGGCATCAAGACTTTCTCCATCTGTGCGCTGATGAATTGAGAGCGTGTTAAGTCTGTGAATGAGCCCGCTTGCTGTGCTAGCACCTCCATTTGCTGACTCTGCTCAATTTCCCAACTATGGTTCAATTTAGTTCAAATGCCTCAGCCCTTGTGCCTTCCCACGTATCATAAATAACCTCCACCACGGTCCGGAGAGGCGCAGGTAATCGCTGCATCAGGGATATGCTGTATACTGGAGAGCAGGCTGATACCAGACTAATGCCCTCTTAGGGTAGTGAAAGTTTTACCAGGGGAAGTCTGGTGATTAGTAATTATTACCTCAGGAAAGACCTCAGGAAAGTTTATCCCATTTAGAAGAACCGTGTAGAGTAATTTCAGTTGCTGTCTTCGTACAAGAAAATGCATTGCAAACTGTATTTTGAGCCAACACTGACATCCTGAGGTGAGTTCAAACTCTTTAAGATCAACATTTTGACTCTCGCACACGGCATTGTGGATCAAAAGATGGAGTTTCACTCTTGTGATAAGGATAGCAGCAGATTCAAATATCTCAGCGTCAGGTAAAACCTAGAGAAACCAGAGCAGATGATGGTGAAATGTATTAACTGGAGGAAATTGGATGTGGCTCTGTGTGACATGAAGCGTGTCCTTGGATTGCTTCCACACAGACGACATGAAATGATGACACGCTGAATGTAATTACCAGTGTGCGTGGTTAAGGTCAAATTTCCAACTTTTCCCAGGTGATACTGCTGCAGAGACGCCTTATATCAGTTTCATGACACAATATCTGTCCATTACAGGAAATTTCAATGCTGAGAGACATCAGCAAGATGTTACTGTATAAATGTAAGACACTTCCAGCAGTGAATCTCAACAAAGGGTTACCGACCCTCACAGGAGCTGCGAAATAATTTCTGGGGGTCTCCAGATGGCTGTGGAGAAATAATAAATCATTGTACAGTAACCATTTGGATATTCTCTTTTATAGGTTCTCTAGCAAGGGAACTCCAGAGGACGTCCAGAGCTTTTGCATTCACACATTCAGCCGCTCCAGACAATGTCCAGAGATTATCTGGAGCTCATGTGCACCTACATTCAGAGAGACTCTCTTTACAATCCCCTAACGCTAGATAATCTCCAGAGGGGTTGTATGCGTGAACACGAATGTCTAAGCAAGAGGTGAAAACTCTTCAAAATATCAGGAGCCTCTCACTTGGATATTTGCGTTCACACATACAGCCCCTCTGGAGAACATTCGCATCTCATCTGGAGTTCAGTGCATGTCACTCACTTTAACATATCACTTATCACTTTACAATTTGTTGAGATAATATCCTTTTTAGTTTTTAGGACTATTTAATTCTGCCCTCATGGTGAGATATAGAAGATCTGGTGACCTTTACTCTAGCACCACCAACGAAATGTGAGTTATCGTAACAGTTTGCCTCAGGATCACAGTATGTCTCAGTATCAACGCTGCGGTGCCGGCAGTTAAAAAAGACTTCGGGATGTCTTGGCTGCTTTACTTGCAGCACACTAACGGTAGACAAGTGGTCGTAGGAGCGGGCGGAGCGGGACTTTGCATCAGAGTTCACTTAATATCAGCATCACTGTCCAGCCAAGCAGAGAGAAACAAGGAGTGAGAAGCCACTAAGCGTATTCATGGCCTTGTCAGAAAGCCTTTTAGGCAGACCGACCGGCATGAATGCAAAGCGGCTGCAGTCATAAAGTGGGTCTGATGTGAAATAAATGGCTGTCACTCCGCTTTTTCGGGACAACAGAGGAAGAGGAGGAAAGAAGAGGGTGAGAGAACAGAGGAGGAGAAAACAGGGGAATGGAGAGAAAGTGGCTAAACATGAAGTTGGAGAAAATAGTGCGGCAGACCAAGCTGAACCTTTCTGCAACACAGAGTGAGATAATTTATTTTCACCTCTCTTTCTTTTTTATCGCATCTCAATTTTGTCCCGACCTCCTCTCTCCCTCCTTCCATTTTATATTTGTTCTCCTGTTTTTTCATAAATGGCGAAAAGAAGGAAAACCCCACATGTAGTTTTGCACTTCATTACAAAATCAGTAGGAGTCTGTGAAAAAACAATAGAGGAAAAATTTAATTTTTACCTCTCACCAGGAGATAGTGATCTTAAAAAAAGGGAATTACATACCAAGGATCGGTTTACCACGCAATGTAATCATCATATTTCAGAGAAATGGTCCACTGCCCATTTTCAGGGCTGATGTGTGGATAAAATAAAGTAGTTTAGACGTTTAAAAAGTTTATGTTGTTTTCTGAAGATGGCCTGAGCTCAGTGTGAACACTAATGGATTTAGTTTCAGTGATGGTTGATGCCTGATGCAATCGTTTTGTTGTTCTGACTTCAAGTAGAGCTTTAATGTTGGACCCGAAATGGAGATGAAGGAGGAAAACATTAAAAATAAATAATAATAATCATCCTTATTATTCTTATAGGAATAGCACTTCTCAAAATAAAGTTACAAATTGCTTCACAAAGAAAAAACACAAGAAAGAAGGCATAACAAAACAACATAAAAACTTGTACAAACTCATTTATAAAAGAATAAATAAAAGAATAAAAACACTTTAAGTATCACCTCCCAGTACTACAATGAAATAAGAAATGCAAGGAATGCGTTATGATAAAACTACGTTTTAAGCTTTAAGTGTTCCAGAGCCTCTAGAATCTTATTTCAAAACCTTTGTCCCCTTCAGACTTAAACCGAGAATCTACTTAAAACAGTTAAAGAAGTGCAAGCAAATTAAATGTTACTCACACACTATTTACACATGCATAGTGTAGCCATATAACAACAATTACTAATGAATACAGTTAATCTCAATTTTACTTAAAGGCTGCAATAAAGATTACATATTTTACTGTTGAGTTTTTAAAAGAGGATCTTTTACTTTGTTAGAACAAACGCATCTCAGCACATGACCAGAAAAGTTTGCATGTTAAACTGGTGACGTCATTGTCTGAGGGGTTTAATACTGTTTAATAATTCGACAAAATTCTTTTGAGACAAAATTGAAACTCTATTCAGGGTTTGTTAACTTTGAAATTTGTAGCATCAAAACTGACACATTCATAATAACTGTTATGAATTATGAATAAATAAATATTGAGCTAAACATATCCTGGATTTGTTTATTCTTGTTTTCTGATGTTCTCTTTTTTTATATATTTCCATTATACATATTTAGAAAAATTGTGCTCTTATCTTTCAGGATATGTGCTTTTATCACCTTTCTGTGATTGTACAGTATTTAAAAAAATAATGAATTGATTAAACTGAAATCATTCAATAGAGTGGGGGTCTGTAACCTCTGCACCATCTGTAGCCACATCTGTTCCTTCATCCGTTCATCTCTCCGTCCCCCTCCTCTCTTTCATCCACCCCCCCCAGTTTGACCACTCCTTCGTGGAGGTCTACCGTGTGAAGTCGTTTTGCTTCCTGCCACCAGACCAGGAGCCGGTTTCGCTCGAGGACCTGAGCGAGACGCAGTTAGAGAAGACTGGCTGCGGCCCCATCTGCTCCACCCAAACAACCTGCGACTACAGCAAAGCCCACAGCAGCTGGAGCTGCGACGGGGAGATCCTGCCTCACGCCGCCATCCAAGTCAGGTAACCAATCACAGAGTTGCCCAGGAATCAACTGCACAACTCCAAATAAACCAGAGACTGTGTTTAATAGATGACATGACAGCTCCCTAAATTGCTCCCTGGTGGTTGGCAGCAGTATAGGTCATAAACCCTGCCTCCTCTATGTTAGTGGATGGGACTTGGACCAAAATAAAAACCTCAAAGGCACTTTCAGACACTACGTCGTTTATCTGTTCATATCATTCTGAGCTAATTTCCCAACGAGTAAATTAAATATATTTACTTTTAGTAAATTGACTTCTATTGGGTTTCTTTTTATTCAGATGTGACACACTTGTGCATTCTCATCATACAATACTCTCTTATCATCTGTCAGCCATTCTTTCTTTTAATCAACGTGTGCACTGTGAGCACAGAGTGCACATAGAAAGTGGTTTATTTCTACTCCAGTTCATGATACTCAGTAACATTTTAGTGCAATTTAAACCAACATTAAAGCTTAATGCCCAAAATAAGAGTCTTTACCATGAATACCCAGCTATGGTGATGCAATGGGCATGAGCTCTGTGAGTGTTTCAATACTTCTTCCATTATACACCCTCTACAATATTATGTGCACAGATTCAAAGCCATTTGCCAGTCATCATCTAAGCAGAGAGTGATCCCGCCTGCCTGCCAGCCTCATAATTTTCGTCCCAGGCTTCAAAATACAGAAAATAAGCAGGCACGGTGAGAAAATGATTGAAGTGTGCCTTTTTTTAGCAGGCAAAATGACTCAGTGTTCCAGTGTTAAAAAGCCATATACATAAGCAAAACATTCATCACTGCAAGTAACAATAACTTGTTTTTTTTCCTCTGCTGGCTGCTAAGTTTCTAATTCATTCTCTACAGCAAAGTTTGACTTTCTGTGGTTTTCAGTTGAGCAACTTCATTGCTAATAAAAAATAGAAAATCGTGGCATATGTCGCTTGAGATAATGTCTACTGTACGTTCGGAGCATAGACTGTAAATAAAGATGGACGACGTGTCTCCGCTTCCTCCTGTTGTACTAAAATTAAGCTAAAAAAACAGACAGTGGTGTGGCCATCTTGCGCTTTTGCCGTCAGAGTCTGCGATGTATTTTTATATCATCAATTAAATAATTGAAACCAAACTTCTAAAACCCTATAAAACTGTCTTTGACTTCTCCATGTCCCATCCACTAACATGGAGGAGGTGGGTTTATGTAGCCAGTCACTAGGGGCTATCAAACACACTCTGGCTTCACTTCTGGGGAACAGTCATGTCATCCACCTTCATGTAGAATCTATGGGAAGTTTCTAAACAGTGAGTAGTGAATGAGTGATTTTGTACACAACCATCGACATTTTAGGTTTCAGTCTCCTAAAAAAGAGGAAATAGATAAAGCAATTGATCTACAAAAACAACATGCCAATTTTGGAATCCTGCGAAATACAAGCATCAAAATGTAAAATAGTCAATATATAAGGAAAAGTCATTTAGAAGCTCTCCGACTTGTTGAGACAGGAATGAGAACCGTCGCACTGCGAGCATCCAGAAACTCTTTAATTGTTCTCTGCTGGACCATCTCGGCACTGCGTTGGAACCAGCCACTCCTCATTATTCTGGCCCCGTCTGCACCTCATCCTTCCTCACTATCAGATCTCTATACAACCAGCGTGTTGCCACGCCACGCATCATTTATTTCATGCTCCATTGTATTTTGCCAATGATGCATGGCGCTGTAATGTTGCTAATTTAATGGCCCTCCCCGTGTTAAAAGGCTACTCCCCTTTAATTAAAGCAGAAGTCCGTCCTTTTATTGCCTCTTCCGCTCTGCTAATCGTTCTTGGAGTGAGCCAGCCGGAGTGCGGATAATTAATGGTGATGGCCCGGGCAAATGGAAAGAAAGTAAGAGAGGAGGAGGGAAGGAGGTGAAAAGTTTTGTTTGTGAAGTTGCACGTATGTTTGGAACTGAAACTCAAGGTGCAAACAACTCAAACACGCTGAGCAAATGCTTAATATGTTGCTGAGCTTTGATTTATGTGTTCTGAGCATTTTCTGGGTTTATACATGACGTATAACAGGAAATAAACCCTTCTCATTGAGCTGAAAGGGATTAGTTACCATTCTACTCCATTATTCTAACCACGGCTGAATCCTGCAAGTAAACAACAGGTGTTCCAGTAAAAATACAGGTGCCAGACAAAGCCACAGGCGATACAACACTGTACTTTGACTGTTGCTTTGACTGCTGTTTTAAATCAGTGTACTTTTACTTGTATGCATTAGGTTGTATTATGCATGTCATAAAAGCAAGTCAGGCCCATCTGTATTGTAACATCTGTTCTAGCAGCTCTTTAAAGGACTTTATATTTTACACACTAGACTGGTTCTCTTAAAAGTTTGTGTGTCAAGTTTGCACACGGACACTGTTCCACTCTGTTTACATCCGCCTCATGGACAGTGAAGTGTCATTGAAATGAGCATAGACATTAAGTTGATGGTTTGTTACGCTAAATGATGTGTGTGTGTGTTTTCTCTGTAGTGTCCAGTGCCAGCTGATCAGGCTGTTTGCCCGTGGTATAGAGGAGCAGCAGCAGTGTGTTTTTGAAGACCCCTGCACACTGTGGGCCCCGGAGCCAAACACACACTAAGTGAGTGGACTGAGAGCAGGATGGGCCACTAAAAAAAACACAAACTTGGCAAAAGTTTCCTGGAAAACTGCACATCACATAAGTGCAAACTCCAAATGTTGGAATTCCAGTCTCTCTTGCTTCTGAAGTGTGTTTGCCTGAAGGAAACGTGCACTATCTGCGCAAGAAGTGACAGAATGATAACAAACAAATAAATCCAGAATAAAGATGGAAAACTGCCACTACCAGCCATAAAAAAATGAAAGATGGAGATACATGAAACAGAGCTGAACTGGGCTGAGCTGGACTCACAGCATTCAGAGAAAGGTTTTCACCCTGCCATGAAGGAGAAGGCAAATATGATTTCTCCTTATTCACAGAGAAGGGACAGCCAAGGAGATACGGCTTTGTGAGAAGGATGAATTAAAAAAAATGCCTGTAAAGTACACTGATAATATGAAAAGACATAAAATGCCTGGGCTGCACCAAAAAAGACCCATGCAGGCAGTCTGCTGTTCCTTTTTTGAGAAAAAAAATATTTTATCTTCTTTTCACCCAGGTGAAAGCCGATACGAGCCGGGGGCACTAATGAAAAGAACTGAATACCCTGCTAATACACTAACAGGACCCCGGTGGCTTCTGGGTAATAAGGCAAAGTGGTTGCTAAGTGATTCACTGTGTCTCAGCACTGCTGCGCTGCACCTGTGACTCCGAGCTCCGCTCCCCTCTGGCTGAGAAACTACCGGCAGTTCAGCCATCGCCTGGGATTAGCCAGAACTGCACGGTGTTAATGTTAGTGGAGATAATCTATTGTACGGCTCTAAAATCAGCAGGTCAAGCTGGTCTTGATGTGTCTGAAGAAAGGTCACTGCAGAAGGTTTTTTTTGCTACTGCTGCTTCAATAAAACTGCATTGAACTGCCTCTAAAATATTATGTAAATTCAAGAAGGGTGTGTGTGTGTGTGTCTGTCTGTCTAGTTATGAGGGCCAATTTTGGTTCAATACCATCATTGTGAGGACATTTTGGCTTGTCCTCACAAATTCAATGGACTGTTTGAGGGTCAGACTTAGGGTAAGAGTTAGGGTTAGGCATTTGATTGTAAATGTTAAGGTGAGGATAAGGGAATAGGGAATGCATTATGTGTCCTCACAATTATAGAGAGACAAGTATGTGATTGTTTGTGTGTCTGTGTTTGCAAAGGTGCCAATGTGATGAGTTTGCTTTATCACAATTAGCCTCATGACTGCTATTTTGCAGATGCTCTCTCACTGCAGCCAACACACTGCTAAAACAAGTATCTAGACAGGGGCGCGCACACACACACACACACACACACACACACACTCTTTAACTTTTGACACCATAAAAGCACTCTCTGCTCTTTGAATCCTCTCCAGTTTAGTTAATACTCACTCTGAAAGTCTATAATGCTTCACCTTCAGCATTGGCTTTTGACAAGCTGCACTATGAAGCTCTTTCAAAGACTCAGATGCTTTTAAGTCCACACACACAAATATATGCACACAGCGAGGATTGTTTCAGAAATTTAGCAATTAGTGAATGACAATGCAAAAGGTGAAAAAAGTCGAGCTGAAAATTGGAATTATTGTAAATGTGTTTATAACAACCAATAAAACAAACCACACAAACAAAAAGCATAACAATTCCACTTAGCTTGCTAACATTAGCACTTATAACTTTGTCTTCAAACTGATTTGTGTCCTTACGTTATACAAAGAAGGCTTTTTGGCTTCCATTAGCCCAGCACATAAAAAGACGACAATCTTTGATGATGTCAAAACTCACAACAAAGAGGAGTAACCTGAGGACTGAGTCATTTAGTATCACAACTCAAAGTAACTAATATTTGGTTTTTCACGAGTAAAAGTTGTCCTAATGTAGCTAAAAGCATTTAAAATGGAGACCCAGGTTCACAAATCTCAAATGTCAAGAATGTAATATATACTGCTTTCTGAGCAGAAGATGATTTTAATGTCAGCTTGACACAAGTTTTTTAATTAAGTCTTGTTGTGCTCCCCATATCTGTGTAAATACATAACTAAAACTGTGATGTGAGCAGATACTGTGATGTAAGTAGATTTGATCTATTTTATGAAAATGCTTAATAAAGTGCCTCTGACGTGTGTCTCTCTGTCCTTTGTGATCTTCCTGGTGTTTGACGCCACTGATGTTTCATTCCCTTCTTTTCTTTTTTCTCCCACACATGCACAAAAAGGTCAGAGCTCCCTTGCTCAGGCTTTCTCAATCTCCCTCTCTCTGTCTCCCTGTATGAGAGGAATTTAATAGGGTGCTCTGATGTGAGCGAGATGTTTCATTAAAGAACATCAGACTTCAAAGGTCTCTGCTGAGATGGAGTGGTATTTCAAGCTGTGCTCATTCTGCACACAGTCTGGAGCTTGTTTCCTCTTTTTGATTCCACCAGGCAATTGCTAAAGTGTTAGGCGGCAAAGGAGAAGGGAAGTCGGAATTTGGCATCCATGTCGGTCAAAATATATCAATCCATAGTCGGAGTGATCCCGATAATGATGCAGGCTGTAGATATTTAACTTTTGATCGGTGAGTGGAGCTCATGGAAGAGTAGCCATTCCATGTTTATAAGATCTACTAAACTTAAAGTTGTTAAGAATCACTTTACTTAAAGAAGAAAGTGAGCTGCACTTCTCCAGCATGTTTAAATCATTTTGGTGTAAAAGAGGTAAAAGAAGGTCCTTAAGGTCCATAATTAACAGCAAGTGGAGATAAAATATGAATGTTTGTTATCACAATCAATTATTGTTAAAATGTGCTGACAATGATTTAAGCCTCAGTGAAAATATTCAGTAGAAGTAAGAATGCTAAAGCAGCTTAATAAATCTGCAACATTAAGATTGAAGGAGTTTGTCATCAGCTTGTTAAAGAGTCATTTCAGTCACAGTATCACAATGAGTCCATTAAAAATCTGTTTTTTCTGTATGAACTTCCTCCTGACAGCAGGGAACTGACTCCAGAGCAGTTGAACATTGACATTAACTTCACACAAACACAAATCAACACAACACATAGTTCCACTGGAAAATCACACACAAGAAGACAGTCCTCCATTGTCTGCAAACACACCTCATGTGTTTCACTCAGTGTGAGCCTCTACTGTGCGTTGTTGTGTGTGTGTCTGTCACTGTGTTGTTGTGCGAACACTTACTGTTTTCCCTCAAACTGGACCCGTTCGTCTCGGAGGCCGCTCAGTGAGGTCATGTTGCTCCGGTTCTGCAGCTCGCTCCTCAAACCCTTCTTCTCCCATCAGTGCAACACAGCTTGTTGCTGCTGCACACCTGTGGAACCTGGGAACTCAGATCAGAGACCAGAAAAAAGCAAGATGTCTCACTCTGTAGATATTTTACAAACAAAGTTTCCCCTTGGCCGTAGTCTCACAGGCCATCGGGATCATTGGGAGGGATCCCAGTAGCTCTATCGCTCTGTTGGGCTTGAACCAGGGCAGTAATCAGAATAGTCATGGGGGAAGTTTATATATGGTCAAATTGTCCCCCCCCCCCCCAATAAACTGCAGTGTAAACCCAATAACATTAATAAAACGGTTTGGCTATGACGACAAGCAAAAAAGGTGACTGGAGAGGAGAAAAGTCGAATGTATACATGCTAATTGAAAGATATTTATGTATATTTTAAATCATTTGATATACTTATGTAATTTATTTAAAAAATATATAAAAAAGGAATATATAAAGTTATAAAAACGGTCACGCAGCACTGACACAGGTTTATGTTCCACTGAGTTATCATCTGCAATCACCTTTGACCACAACTATGCAGCTATGCTAAGCTGCTGTTACCTTCAGGTATTTAATATTCTCTAACAAAGTGACTGACTGTTCTCATACATTAATCTAATACAAGCACTAGTGTGGCAACAAACACCAGGAGGGATTTTACAGCCAAAGTTGTTTCCCCTCTCTCTCATTTTCTCCTCTCATTTTCTTGCTTTGCTACTTTCTTATTGATTCACTCTCCATCTGCTGTCCGAGGCCCACAAGAGCCGCTATCTCATTCCCACAACCCACCTGAGACACAAGGCAAAACGGCGGCAAACACACACAAAGAGCGCGGCGGCTGTCCCCAATTCCCCCGGGGACTTCTCTCAAAGAAAGGGCCCCTAACAGGACGTGACAGCGCTGCTACGTCCCCCATCTTATTCACACCCTGCCCCTCTCTCTGCTTCACACATACACACTCACACTTGCATCAACATGTCTGTCTTTCCTCTCCCATGTAAAGACTCACACCTGCAACAAGCTCCCATCCTCTCTTTTTATTTCTACCAGAATGTGACCCCACACATTCTCTCCCGAGAGACTTTGTGGCTATATGAGGTGTGTTGAGACCAATCCCATTATTATTTGTCTGATTTGGCCTTTTCAACTAGTTCCTCCAATCATGGGTAAAGTGTGAAAGATTTTTGTGCCTCCGACGTCATTTTCTTCCTATAACCTTTACCTCATGTGTGATTCACACATACAGCAGGACGGCCGGTCTCCTATAGGCTCAACAAACCCTCCTGAGAAAGGTAACTGGAAAGGTTAAGGCAGCATTACACCTGCCACAGTTGCGTGACGTACAGTAAACAATTACAGCGGCCCACCATAGGAAATTACTGTTTTCCCATCGCAGGTCGGTCAACAAGAGCCAAACAACAGCAGAAACTGTTTTGCTGGTCTGAGAGACTGAGGGGAATGATGTGGGTGGTGTGAAAGCTTTGCAGCTGAGAAACAGCGGGAGCAGATAATGCAGGGGCGGCGGTCCAAGCAGCACTTCTACCAGTATTGATTGGAGCGAGCTCCCTGTGAGAGATTTAGATCAATGAGGCCATAAAAGTCCATCTTCTCAGTCAGGAGCCACTACCGGCCACTTATCTCTTACTCTCTGTCTCTCACCCCCCCACCCCCCTCCACACGCACACACACACACACGCATTTCTACTCACTAATGCAGTCACACACGCTGGAGGTCTGACCTTAAAGGGATAGTTCACCTAAAAAATGAAAATTTGCTCATTATCTACTCACTTCTATGTCGATGGAGGGGGGGGGGGGTGAAATGTTTGAGTCCACAAAACACTTTAGGAGTTTCAGGGGTAAAAGGTGTTGCAGCCAAATCCAATACAATTGAAGTAAATGTTGACCAATTCTGCAAATGTAAAAAAAACAATAAATGCCTTCATACTGCCTCTGGGGTGTCATCCAAATGTCAGTTAGCCCTGACACTCAAATCTGATGATGTCATTTACATCACGTTTTAGCCTAAATATCTGCTGTTATCCTCCTTCTAGTTACTGCTGCAGTAAATGCAGCTATTGTGAGTTCTTGTGATACTCACAAGTTCTGAACTGAAAACTCTGATAAGGTAAGTTAAGGTAAGGTAAGGTAAGGTAAGATAGAATAAGATAGAATAAGATAATATAAGATAAGATAAGGTAAGAAGACAAGATAAGGGCCGAGTCCCGGCTTTGATTCCATGTATGCATGTCCTCTCCCACTCTCTCTCGATCCTTCCTTTAACATGCTTAAATCTGTCCTGTCCAGTTGAGGTGATAAAAGCCCAAAAAATACATTTTAAAAGAAAAGAAAATAAGATAACGCAATAAGATAACATAAGGTAAGATAAGATAAGATAATAACATAAGATAACAAGATAACAAGATAAGGTAGGTGAAGAAGATAAGATAAGATAAGTTAAAGTAATCCTTTATTAGTCCCACAGTGGGGAAATTTGCTATTATAAATCAGGTAAAAGTAAAAAATGTAAAGTTTGTCAGCAATCAGACATTAATACAGAACAGGTAAATAAATCATTTCAGCCAGTGAAGTCAGATGTTTAAACAGATGTGATCAGCAACCCACTGTTTATAGGTTGGACAGCATTTGTCACCAGTTTATTATGAAGGTTGTAAGTAAGTGAGTGAAGCAGGATCACGTACCAGCTCATAGTGTATTCGTTCTTTCATTCATTCATTATTTCATTCATCCTCCAATGCCAGTCTTTTCCTTATTATGTTAATTTGGAGTAAAAGCAAACACTCAAAGTGAGAGGCCCTTGAATCAGCATTAATTCAGTAATTAGGGAAACTGTATACGGCATCTTCGTAATCTGGAAAAACATAATCATCATCTCAAAGTACTGCAGCGATGTGTAATTCACTCACAGTGTTTTCACTGTAGAGGAGCCATGCATTTACAAAATCTGTAGAAAAACAAAACACAGTAAAGGCAAAGAACAAAAGTCTGAATATGTTTTTTTTAGTCCCTGTGGACTTTTTTTTTAATGTTGTTGTTTTTATACTGATATGGACCCATGAGTCTGAAATAAAGCTTAACGTGCATTAAAATGGGAAAGGATTTGCCAAACATGTAAAACTAAGGTGAGCATCCTCTCACATGATCTGCTGTTCAGCTTTGAAAGTCAAACCGCCTGCTCCGGCAAAGTAAAGCAGAAAAATGTCAGAGCAGGGACGCTGTCAAACATGCACAGTCAATACCTAGTAGTTTGGTCATTTTCTCTTAGTTAATGTTCAAGTGTCATTTCATTTGACAAACATATTTAAAAAGTTGCTTAGCATTAAAGTGCTTCATCAATAGACAGGGAAAACAATCTAATTACAAACTCATGACTAATAACTGTCTAAATCAATGGAAAATGAACCACTCTGACAAGTCCATCACTTATAATGTAACAATGGTGCTTTGGGATAAACGCTAATGATAAAACATTTCAATATGTCATCAAGCACAGATGATTAATAGAACAAAGCTGGGAGCTGCGACGGGCTCTAATAAACACGATCAATATACATATAGAGAAATTCACAGATGAGTCCAACAAATGATTGTCGCCATCTGACCATAGAGGATTGGAAGCAGCGTTCCCTTTAAAAAAAACGGAATACTGGATAATTGTCCTGTATTCTTGTGTTCCTGTATGTCTTGATGGATGGAAGGTGGAAAGATGGAAAGATGGACAGATGGACGGATTGATTGATGGAAGGATGGACAGATGGATGGAGGGAGGAGTGATGGATGGATGGATAGAAACTTTGAGGAGTGGACATTAGGTGGTAAAACCAACCATCTTGGTGTCACCACAGGAAAGTGAGAAAATAGGTTTTGTGGTGAAGTTGGGCGTCCCCTTTAAAAGCGGGACAGGAATCAATCTAATTTGTGACTAATTACTTTTAAAGTACCTTGAGACGGACCAGACTCCATCGTCAGTGACACACTGTGAAGTGGATGCTGCCGTCGTAGCTGCTGGGTCCACAGAATCACTCCGGCCTGGGCCAGCGGGCGACTGCAGACTGCTTCTCGGTGATAAGTCATTACCTCAGCTGGCACTTTGTTAGCAAACAGAGGATCTGTTGCCGAAGCAATCTACTCATTACTTGTTAATCACTTGAATAGGCGGCCTTGTTTGTACAGCACACGCACAGACGCATCCGGCGAGCACGCTGGACTTTGTTTTCCGCTAAGCACGAGCGTTATTGTGCTCCTAATGGTGCTTGAAGTAATTACACTGTAATGTTACTCGCTGTCTAGTCCTCTCCAGCAAGCCTCAGCGTGGTAGCTCAGTTCAGAAGTAGCAGTAGCAGCCATTATCCCCTAAGCACCACAATGACTCCATTAACCAGAAGGCATCTGCAATTGCTTTGTCTTGTGCAAGAATATGAGGCATGCTTCAGCGACAGCCTAACTGACTGTACACACAGGGTGGCTGGTCAGCAGGAGCAAACTCAGAGAAATGTGTATGTGTGTATGTGTGTGTGTGTGTGTGTGTGTGTGTGTGTGTGTGTGTGTGAGAGTGTGTGTGTGTGTGTGTGGAAGCTTGTGATACAATGCTGTTGAAGAAACATCTGAACAGAAACACTTTGCACTTCTATCGTGGAAATGGTTGAAGTGAATGTGTGAAAAAGTAGTTGAATACATTTAAAGAACTCAAGTATTGATGCAATCGCCTGCAACTTTTCCCTGGGAAAACGGTGAGGACATTATGTCACGACGCTGCCACGCTACACACAGCAGATCCTGATACACACCAGAAAATGAGCAGAGGTGGTTTTTTGGAGCAACAGCAGTCAGTAGGAATAAGGGACAATATATGAGAAGACACTCATGAATGTGTTTATTATGACCGACGAGAATAAAGTTCTAGTTAAATAACAACCCTCTTTCATTAAATAATAACTTTTTTGTTATTAATTCTTGTTGAATTACAACTTTAT